CAAGCGCCTAGCGAGTGACTGATTAAAGCATAGATTACTGTATATATACTAGGATTAAAGTGCAGTGTATGCACCGCAGTTGAATGGAACATAGTAGCTGAATGCAGTGTCGCCTCTAGTACGTAGTACATATTAGCTCAATGCCAACATACAACACGTACGAATTAACTTGAGACTCCGCTGGAATTCGACCCCCTTCCCGACTCCCCGCACCGCGTCCCGCGCTGGACGTGCGTGCTCAGTACCGATAGCATTTTTGTTACGGATACGCGTCTCGACTCTAGTTCGATATTTTTGATAATTGTTTGTTGTTTGGTTTGGACTTTTGTTTGTTTTTGTTATACTTGAACGTTATTATAATAAATCCTTATTAATATTGCTTACTTCCATTCCTTGATTTTACATAGTTTGTGCTGTTCCGCTTATCCAAGATTGATTCACTTTCACCCTAAGGTTGCCTGGGAGAGATTGCTTTTTAGCAATAAGATCGCCTGTTATGCTTTGTATTTTTATTGTGTACGAATCTGTAACACTTTTATAGTGCAATAAAGTATATAATAAATAAATTAATAATATTATAAATGAGAAAGTGTGTATGTTTATATCTTTGTCCTTCCTTGATGCGTTAACTAAAAATAATATTATATATATATTATAAAAAATAAATATTTAAAATATATAAAAATGGCAACAGTATATCACTTATTACTTCACCCCTTGCCAGAACATTTTATTTTGTTCTTATTAATAATCTCATGCAAATCTCAAAAATTTCAAATTAAAAAAATGTTACGACGCATTATTTTGCACACCGTATATTGACAATTACGTCATCGGCCCAGGTCTCAAGTTAATTCGTACGAGTTATAACATTTTCTGGTTTGCTTTTTTCTCTTCTCTCCAAGCAATAAATTCGTCGTATGTAGATATGTAGCGACTTTTTGACTTTTCCGTTAAAATTCTACGGTGCATTGCCGTTATACTGAGTTCCGGTGGTGTTAATTCAAATAAAATATCGTCGAAATTACTCATTTTGTGCAACAAACAACTAAACTCGCAAAGAACATTTTTGGAAAATTGCGCCAACCGTAAAAGAATATAAACAGAGATTTTTTTGTTTTCTTCACCCATTCTGGATAGGCAAAGGGAACTAAGCCCATACAGCCAAGTCTTCAGTAGAATTTTTTTATTGATATGAAATGAAAATGAAATTTAATGAAATAAAACCTAACCTAACTCAATCAAATCATTAAATCTGATATTGAAACAAATTAATAGCTTCTTTTTAGAAATATTTGCATAAATCATAAAACTATGACTAAGCTTAAGAGACTTCAAAATACTAGTATTCGGTTCGGATTGCGCAAATTTGACCATATTTCCCAATTTCGCTCACGTCTCAAGTGGTTACCTATCCAATTTCGCCGGAACATGCATATTCTTTCTATTCTGTACTGTGTCTTATTTCACCCTTCTACTCCTCCTTATCTTAAGGAGAAATTTAGTTTTGTTGGGCTTCCAGGGGAACCTTTACGCTCTTCAAGAAAACTCATTTTAAGGGTACCAACTCACAATACATCTTTCTTTAATAAATCTTTTACTGTACAGTCTATTAAGCTCTGGAATGCCCTACCTTTGTATTTACGCGAAGCTCAGACTATTGTAGTCTTTAAGCGACTTCTTAAAGAGCATTACTTGTCTCAATCGTTCGAAAATCATTAGGATAAATTATGTGATTATGTAGTTTTGTATTTATTTGTTTATGTTATTGTTAGTGGTATATATTTGAGGATATATGTATGTATATATGTGTATATATATGTGTATGTATGTATATGTATGTATGTATATGTATGGATATGTATATGTATATATATATGTATATATGTGTGTGTATGTTTATGTATATACGTATGTATGTGTGTATCATATTTTTTTTTAAATTTATTAGTTATTTACTTATATGTTATTTTATTGCATGTATTGATATTATATTAGGTATATTTATATTGCACCACCTACCTAGTACTCACTGTTTTATTCCTTTACACCTTTGGTTGCCTGGAAGAGATCGCTATGTAGCGATAATGCCGCCAAATTGTACATATGTAATCTGCTCTCTGTTATGTTCTTTGTAAATTTGTTTGTGGTGTGCAATAAAGTATATTCATTCATTCATTCATTCAACTATGATTTTTTTTAGTAAAAACTTCGTGGTTGGTTTTTTCTCTTTAATAGACATTATTTTGACAGTTGAGAAAGAGAACGCACGAGTTCGGAAAAGGTAAGAGGAAAAAGCTCGAGTATGTAATAGCCCACATTCTGAACGCTATACGTCTCTGCAATACGCCACTTTTTGAGCAACTGTATTACAAATAGTTGTTCAGTACACGTGCGGAGCCGGAGATTGATATACATTTTCGATATTGGATTTTATGCGGCTATTTTTATAGTATAGAGCAAGTTTTCTTGGAGGAGCTGAAAATCCGTTACTGAGTTTATATTAATATTTATTTTCTTGTAGTTTACATACAGAAGAAATTAAGTGTGTTTTAAACATGTTTCTACGTTACACATATAGTCTATATGTACAGGAGAGGACTAAGCAGTGATTCCTGGAAAACCTGAAGGGACGTTAATATCTTGATACAGATCTGAAACCACCTATAATAACAGCTTGGCTGCGAATAAAAATGTATGATTTGAACCGCCTTAGCAAATCACACAAATTCAATCACTTGTAAATTTTTTAAACCGGATGACGTGATTTACACGGTCGAATGCTTTTTTGAAATCCGTATTGTGGAAATCGATTGCTGTGTGTGGAGCACTCCGTCTATTTTTATTTGTTGTCTAAAGTCTTTTGCAAATAAAGAATAGCATGCAGTAGATCGTACCGGTAGGCGAAGTGACGGGCGACCCCTCACTAGATGGGGTGAAGACCTGGTAAGACAGGAAGGAAGCCGATGGATGCAGGTGGCTCAGGATCGTGATTTGTAGCATTCCTTGGGGGAGCCCTATGTTCAGCTTTGGACTTTGGCTTTCGTTTTTTTTTTTTGTTTCGCAAACCCACCATTCGGTTTGCGAGTGACTCATAATTGAAGGCATATCTTTAACTTTAGCTTGGTTGTCCTATTTTCTACTTGTCTGGAGGAGTTAACGTGAAAAGTACTATTGTAATATCATAAAAATACTATAAGTAGTAAAGTATTGTTTATATACCAGAATGAATGAAAAAAATAGTAATTATAGAATAATTTATTAATTTACCATAATTAAAAAATTACACATACAGAAAACATTTTTATAAGTGTGTTACAGAATACTCTCGTATGTACAATTATTATTGATTATAAAAAACGAGAAATAAAATTGTACCATTATTTGTAATTATGCTAAAATATGAGTATTAAGATAGGTACTGTCTAGTCTGTAATATATTTACGAAATAATAAAGTACTAAGACGATTTAATTTTCTAAAGATACTAGCTAAATTATTATTAAAGTCGTAGAAAGATTACTTGCCTTAAGTGAAACTTCTCTTTTCTATTTAACATTATAAATTGATTACATTTAAATATCTTTACATTTATTTAAATTAAAGCTCTCATAAAATCCATAGATATAGTTGAGACACAATGTTTTATCACGATTTATTTACCGACTTGAGTAGAAAATATTCTCATGAAAATTTAATAATTTGTTATCTAAGTGCATTTCAACAAACGACAGCAATGATTCTGTTAATGTTCTATCGTATAAACCCACGTAGATCATGGTATGGAGCCTTCATCTCATTTATAACATAGAATCGCCCTACGTTAAAATATGATTGAAACTAACACAATTATTTCTTATGTTTACGCGAACACTACACATTTAAATAAAACTAGTTTGTACGGATTTTATCGCGTATGTTAACTTATTTAGTGCTCGACGTTTCGATTTCGAGCACTTTACAGCACCCAAGGCCACGGAGGAGGGGGAGGGGAGGGGAGGTGCTGGGGCTTATCTGAATGTTGTCAATTTAATTTGAGAACAAATTAAGTAATTGAAGTCGTGTAAAGTCTAAGAATTGATTATAACTTCATTTAAATAGTCTACGACGTGGTCGGGTTCTTGCCACGTTCAGCTTAGCTGTTCTTTATTCTTAATTCATGCAACTGTTTCAATTATATATACGTACAAATATATATTACACGTGGTAGAAACATGCTGCAGTTATATTACTAATATATAGTTAGTATATAGGTAGTATAGTTGTAGCACGAGTGGGTCGGCTCGACCAGGGAAGGACCATGCACTCACAGAATACCAGCGTAAAAAGCTTAATGCTGCTATTTTGTATGGTGAGAGTAGAGAATCAGAGACCCAATTGACTGGAATTGAGGCATTCGATCTTAGTCCTTAGAGTTGACAACGCATCTGCATTTATGCCAATGGGCTACAGCATCCACTTAACACCAGGTGGACTGTGTGCTCCTTTGTCACCCTTATTTTATAAAAAAGACACTCTAATGTTATTATTTATATAAAATTAAGGTGTCTGTCTGTAACATCTTTTTATTAAATTATATGTATAGATGTGATTGGAGCCTTTATCAACATGATAGAGATAAGCTGCAGCTATACATATGCCTGTATAATGGTACTCTCACAGAATTCGTAACGTGAGTTTAAGTGAAACGGAACTACGAAACTAGTTATTCTGAGTGCTCAGAGGTAACAATGCGTCCACATTTTGGTTCTTAATCGAAAAGAGATCCAGATTCATGTTTTAATGAAGGAATTATAATATGTGAATTAGACTGATATTTCAGTGAAATCTGCCTTTTAAGAACTCACAAGAGACATATAGGAGACAAATTCTCTCAAAAAATTATTTAACAGACCTAGCTCAAACTATTGAAAAGAAGACATCTGTGTAATAATTTGTTTATTACACTGTTCAAGGTCACACCAGCTCTTATATACTACAAAATATATAAAAAAACATTAATTATTTGCTTGTTTGCTCGGCCGCATTGGGTTCACTTTGTTCAGGGGACTTTTTCTCCGCCTGGACGTCTCCATTGGTGGCTTGCTGTAAAAAATAATGATATGAAATAGCCAGTAAATTATTATAGGAAATCAGACGGCTGTGATCAGAGCTAATAATGAAATTTCTAATTCACCAATATACACTTTTATAGATATGAAATTAAGTCCATTTGATGGTATATGGCTAACAGCAAATAACATCAAACTACGAAGCATGCAGATATGTTGTCATCTCCGAGAGCTAAGATGGAATGCCTCACAACCTGTAACTATAGGTATGATGGCTCTTATGCTTCAGACTGGAACACAGCATGCTATACTTTATGGATCATCGTCATCATCATCATTACAGCTCTTCACAAATCCACTGCTGAACATAGACCTCACGCAAGGAATTCCACAAAGCACGGTCCTGAGCCACCTGCATCCATCGACTTCCTGCATGTATTACATAACAGGTCGTCACTTCATCTAGTGGGGAGAACTATAGGGTAAAGGTGTCTAATTATGAGATAGGTGTCTGCTCCCAGCCACCGTCGCGAACGGCAGCAATTTTTATCGCTAGTGACAAGTTGGTGATAAGTTGTCACATGATTGAATATGTTTTGGTGACATGTCGGTGGCAAGTTGGTGACAATCAAATTCAAATTCACATTCATTTATTTGCCAGAATGTATGTGTACAATAAAGTATGATCTTAAATTGTGTATACTGGCCCATTTACATTCTACCACTTTATATGGTGTGCAAATATTTTATAAGTCTACATACAAAAAATAATAAAAAAATAAACAACAAGTGGGAATTCAATTTCGTACATTTATGATTAATTGATATGACTATCATGTCATTTAAGTAATAGGTTTTAAATTGTCACACTTTCAGTTTGTTTGTAATTAATTAATTATTAGATATATATCGATATTACTTATTTCGGATTTATTTTCCACAAAAAGACATAAATTCATTTAGGTCGTAAAAACATTTTTCTTTTAACCATTGTATCAATTCTTTTTAAACATGGTTAAAGGTATCTCTTTAAAGTCGATGGGTATTTTGTTATACACCTTTATAGCATTTACGTAAGAGTTGCTTTCATACAAATTGAGCCTGCATTGAGGTAAGTACAATTTATGTTTATTTCTAGGAGCTACATTTCGTTCAGTTACATCTATATGCCTTTCAAAGTGTTATCTCGTGATAAGTGATAAGTGACAAGTGTTCGGATGGTGTCACTGATTTAAATAAAATTTTGATGACAAGTCGGTGGCAATCATCGCCACTGTGACAAGTCATCGCCCCTGTGACATCTGATTCACCGGGCGGTGCTTGTCAGCGACATTTTGTGAACAAGTTGGTGGCAAGTACTCTGCGAATATGGCGCCATCGCAGGGCAACTTATTTGTTCTTCCGGCTTTCACTTTCTGCTTTCTGCTGGAGGTACGGGACATGAACATGTCTTGTGATAGAAAAGTTGACCACGTGGGTTAGTAAAGCTGTACACGAAGGAAAAGCTGCCTTCGCAGCGAATAAAAACTTATTAGCATAGCGGCGGAAGAAATCCATAAGGCCACGAGTAAGCTCCAAAGCATGACTACCATCTCCAACCCTAATACCAACAGCTTTGGAGGTTCTTAAGGATGAGATAGTATCTTCTGTCCGTAAGGAAATGGCCGGGCTTAAGAAATTAGTAACAAATACAGCGAAAACACATACATATTATGCCTAAGGTGCTTCGACTGTCAGTGGAGCTACTCATTCGGGGGGAGTACTTGCCTCTCGTCCTCCGGCGTCATTCCGGCGACTGAAGTCTAATCGCATTAGAAAGCCGTGCAGTTGTTTCGGCATAGCATAAGCTATAGGAACTCCAACTACGAACCGGTCCAGTTTCAACCAGTATCAAACAACAAACTGCGAGTGGAATTTAACAGTGTAGCGCAAAGAGACGACACTTATGAGGCTTGTACAAACAAAGTAAAGGCTGAACCGGTACGCATGTTAAAATCCATGGTGATATTAAATCGAAGCCGGATTTGAAAAAACGTAACTGGACAAAATATTATTTACTGGAATACGCTTAGGAAGTCTAAAAAAAAGTGAAGATCAAGTAAAAAGTCGATTGAGTACATTACTGCATTTTTATTATTAAGAAGATTATATGTCTGTACATGGTGATATATACAAGGTTTATCTAAGCATGTCCCAGCGGACGACCTTGCTCATATTATCATTAGACAAAATCCTGAGCTTCCCCAATTCATGTATTGCGAGAACCATAGTACTGAGAAATTTTGGTTACGATTTAAACGAGAAAATAGAAAAAGAAGAAAAGGAAGAAAGAAAAAGAAGAGTGTGGTTTGTAAGATGATGTTGTGCTTGTGTTGTGTTGCTTCGGTGGTTTGGTCATGTGGAAAGAATGAATGAGGAAAGAGTGACAAAGAAAATTTATGTTGCAGAAGTAAATGGCAGAGTCGGAAAGGGACGCCCTAGGCGAAAATTTATCGACCAAATTAGCGATTTATTAAAAACGGGCCAAATTAAGAGTACCCTTAACCGACGGGCATGTATGCGTAGGTATATGGATGTGAAGGAGGCGAGAGAGGTGTGTCAGGATCCTGCCAAATGGAAGTCTGTAGTCTCTGCCTACCCCTCTGAGTGACAGGCGTGAGTGTTTATTTATGTATGTATTAAACGCGAAAATCGAAACAGTAATCTGTATAAAGCGGTTTTCCTGGCTGAGGCAAAAATTTATCTCAAACTGGTTGAAATGGAGGGGATTTGTATTGTATAGACCATCAGCGTATCAGCGTGAGCAGCTTTTCGCCCTACTTGCAGTGCTACAAGTGCCTTCAATTCGGTCACATTAAGACAAAATGTACAGCCAAATAAAGTCCGTGCTCCCTTAGTGCCTGCACTGACCATCAGTTAGATAAATGCCTTACTAAAGACGGTACAAAGAGTGCTTAGTACTATAATTGCTTAACACATAACGACAGCCTCAATACCAAACTGGACCTTAATCATATTACTAGTTCGGACAAAAGTCCCAGACTACGAGCCATGTAAAATTATACTACGGATAGACTATGGATTCACGTAATAAAACAATAAATGTATTATATGCACAATAAAGACAAATCGAAGTACAGTTTACACGAGTTCACCGTATCTTTCATGGCTGGCAGTTATGAAACATTTTTCATTTACATTTATTTAAATAATAATAAAGATACATGACATTAGTTTAAGGTATTTCGCTTTGAATTAGTATTGTACGTAAACTGGTAGTTCTGTTCTTATGATTTTTCGCTTTTAATTTTAGTATAAATAAGGATTAAATTGCAATATAAAAATTCACTGTATGTTATTATTAGATACATATTATAAATGATATAAAATAATTAAAAGAATTATTGTCATAGAATATTTTGTATATAAATGTTATGTTTAATTTTATTAAAGAAACTGTAAAAAATTTTATGTATCAACCCCCATATTATATGTTGAGATTTCTATAACTGTGGAACACACATACTTAAGTTATTTGGATCAAATATGTACAAATTGTAGAAATTGACAATATATTACCGCCGTGAGTGGTGTAACTCTTGACGGAAAACTAGAAAAAAATTTGAGATACTCGTAGGTTCCTAAAATGAGTTAGTTCAGTATTTGAAAGTACTTGTCGTGAACGACAGTGGAATTGTTTGGTCAGTCATGCAGCCGTGTGCAAACGAGCACCATTTAGGCACCGGTATACAGGCGAGAAAATACACTACCACCTCGACTTTTATCGGGAACGGATACAATTTTTTTTCGTTCTCAATTGCAAATGGAAAATAGCAGCTTAAAGCTGCTGTGTTTCGTATGGTGAATGTAGGGAACCAGGGACCTTTTTTACTAGAAATGAGGCATTCCATCTAAGTCCACAAGAGTGACAACGCATCTGCATTATGATTCTTATTCGAGGTAAAAAGTAAATGCCTATGGACAACAACATCCACTTATCATCAATTGGGCTGCGTCTTGTCACCCTTATGCTATAAAAAAGGTATATTGAATCATAAAAAAAGAAGTACGTTTAGATTGCATATAGATTTGTGATATGTGGTAAAGAGTGAATTTTAACTTTTCAAATTTTTATTTTATTGTGTTTATTACATATAACAAACATGACATTTGATTGTGTTGGGTTTACGGTTTATAGTGAGTTCCTCAAATGAGATACCAATGGGCTTCCTATAAGCGATAATCTAGGGCATGTTTTGACCAAAAAACATAAAATTATCTAAACAGCATGCATCGGTGTACACGCAAAAGCTAATAAAAATGTATGATGTTTGGAAAAGCTTACGAAAACGAAACTTCAGAAAAACGGCTGAGTTATTTTTCTTAGTATAAATAAACACTGATTGTTATTCTAACGTATAATTAAATTCAATAAAAGTATGTTAATTAATTGTATTTTTTATTTAAATGAGCTCAAAAGTGGAGTTTCCTAAAAAAAAAGGAAAAAGAAAGAAAGAACGGATAAGAAAGATAGAAGGATATCTGATAATTTCCAGGCTAACATAAAAATGTTCTGGAAACTGGTAAGAACTGCCAGGGGAAATACAAAACAGCCTATAATTAATGCTAAAAGAGACGAGAATGGATGTATTCTGAATGATGAAGTTTCGAATTTAAACAGATGGAAGGAATACTTTGAAAGCGTGTTTATGAGTGAAGAGTCGTCTGAATTAAATGAACTGGAAATTCCGAAAGAAGTGGAAAGGGGTATGGAGATAAGTGTAGATGAAATAATGAAAGCAATGAAAAGCATGAAAGCAGTTAAGGCAGCTGGATATGATAGAGTATCACTCGAGATGCTAAGGGATGGAGAGGGAGTGGTGGCAGGCCTGCTGTACACCTTGTTTAATTTATGTTGGGAATTAAAACGGGTACCGGATTACTGGTATAAAGCAGTTATAGTAGCAATATATAAAGGAAAAGGGTCACAGCAGGACTGCAAAAACTACCGTGGTATCAGCTTGCTTAGTATTGTGGGTAAACTGTATGCTAAGGTGTTAATTGAAAGAGTTATGAAAGAAACTGATGGAAAAATTTGGGATGTGCAAGCGGGTTTTAGAAAGTGAATGGGGTGTACAGATCAAGTCTTTTCCATGCACATGATTGCGGAGAAGTTTTTGGCCAAAAACCAGAAAGTTTTTTGTGCGTTCATGGACTTGGAAAAGGCTTATGACAGAGTGGACAGGAATGTGTTATGGCAAACACTGAACTCATATGGGTTGAGCGCTGGTTTGATACAGGCATTAAGGTCTCTTTATAGGGACTCTAGTGCTTGTGTCAGGATCAATGGGGTCTACTCGGACTGGTTTGGCATCCAAAAAGGTGTCAGATAGGGCTGTGTAGCTTCCCCTTGGCTGTTCAACCTATTTATGGACAGGTGTTTGCAAACTTTGAAAGATGAAGAATGTGGGTTAAGAATGGGCGAGTTAACCGTCAAATGCCTTTTGTATGCCGATGATCAAGTCATATTTGCGTCATCGGCGGCTGAGTTGCAAATGATGGTTACATTAATGAACTGGGAATTAAAAGAAAGGGGAATGAAAGTGAACGCAAGTAAGACGAAAGTGATGGTTTTTGAAAGAGAAGAAAGCAAAACGGTATGTGAAATAAGAATAGAAGGAGAGTTAATTGAGCAAGTGGATGAGTTTGTGTATTTGGGATGTGTATTTAGCAGGGATGGTAGATATGATAGGGATATAGAACGACGAGTAAATGCAGGGAATAGAGTGAATGGGGCACTACACTCTATTATGAAGAACCAGAATGTGTCAAAAAAAGGAACTTATGGTAATTCATAATGCTGTGTTAGTCCCTACTTTAATGTATGGTAGTGAAAGCTGGGTGTGGCAGAAGAAGCACGAAAGTAGAATAAATGCTGTAGAAATGCGGTCTTTAAGGAGTATGCTAGGGTTGAATCTGAATGACAGGGTGAGAAATTGCATGATAAGAGATAAATGTGATATGCAAGATGATGTTGTGACCAGGATTAAAAAAGGAATGCTTCGGTGGTTTGGTCATGTAGAAAGAATGAATTAGGAAAGAGTGACAAAGCAAATTTATATGGCAGATGTGAACGGCCGAGTCGGGAAGGGACGCCCTAGAAAAAAGTTTATCGACCAAATTGTCGATATTTTGAAAAGGGGCCACGTTAGAAGTACCCTTAACCGACGAACATGTATGCGTAGATATATGGATGTAAAGGAGGCGAAAGAGGTATGTCAGGATCGTGCCAAATGGAAGTCCGTAGTCTCTGCCTACCCCTCTGGGTGACAGGTGTTAGTGTTTATGCGTTATGTAATTTATGTCTTAAATCAGGAACCCTAAGTATCTCATATTAGGATGCCTTCATGCTTGCACATAAAAAATGTATTATTTTATTATATCACTTATAGAATTGGTAAGCACTATTACAAAAATATTTATAGTTTTGAAATTTACATTAAATCGAATTTATTGTCTAGTAAAATTACCTTCTTACCTATGATATTTTAACGAGAAATACACAAAAATGAAAATGGTATCTCATATTTGGCATCTTTACCCTACTTTAAGTAAGGGCAAACTTTATTATGAGCATCTTATAGGTAGGTCACTCAATAAGTTTTGAGATGCTTGAAATTTTAAAATTGAACGCACTCGTGTTATATGTTGCTCTCCGAAAACGAAAAACAGACTCGTGTGGATTGGTGTCATGAAATGCGTCTACGTTTTGAAAACGAGACATCTAGGCGTGTTTCAGAAAGCATTACTGGTGACGAGACATGGATATATAAATATGATTCGGAAAATAAAAGGCAATCATCAGTTTGGGTCTACTCAGAAGGACAGTTACCGACAAAACTGCAAAGACCTCGCAACGTCACCAAAAAAATAGTAGCTAGTTTTATTTCGCGGAGCGGACATTTGTCGACGTTAATGCTGCAAAACTGTAGGTCAGCTAACTCTGAATAGTATGCTACAGTTTCATTACCCAAAGGTTTTAAGCTGTGCAGGAGAGCAGACCAAAGACCGGGCTTCGGGGAAACCATGCTGCGTTACGATAACACCTCTTCACAAACCTTCCTTAGAACAAAAGCATTTATTGAGGAACCTGGTGTTGAAACTCTAAGTCACCCACCCTACAGCCCTGACTTAGCTCCTTGTGATTTCTTTTTGTTCCCAAGAGTCAAAGAAAAAATAAAAGGCAAGTTTTTTTCAAACGCCGAAGAAGCCGTGTCTGTCTACGTAGAAGCGATTTTATGCAATGGAGAGGACTTAACTCGCAATATTTCAGCCTGTTGGCCGGCCGGCCAGATAACTCGAAGAATCGATAAGTAAGAAAGTTTCTCGAGTGGCAGCCTCGTACCTGGTGGTGATTTTGGTGGGCTGTAATGACTATAATAATAAGTAAAATTACCGTAACACCTAGTCCATAACATGACGGAGATAATGACGAATTTAAGGAATGAAGAATAAAGGGAAAATCACACACAGAGGGTACGTTGCATGGGTGAAAATGACGTGCAGTAAAGTACACTTTATGTCCCGGCGCGCTTTGTCTAAGCTGGAGTAGTAGAGGAGTTGTTCAGCTCAGAGTAGGGGCCGCCAGGAAACGGTTGGGTTTTGGTGTGGCCGCGGCTGTATAAAAATACCTACGGATATAATCGCGGATATAATTGAGGATATTCCATGCTTATATGCGGCTCAGGGTTGTGTCTTAAGTAGGTTACAAACGTTCGTTATTCCTTACGTACGCGTTACGTACGCAAGTTATCCGAGTTGGAGTCCCGCCAGCGGTAATAAAATGATTAATTATAGTTTTAAGTGCTCGATGGTGAGGAAAAACTGCATGTCAAGGAAATTAAAAAAAATTTATCGATTTTCGAGGGGTGTGAAATTCACCTAAACAATTTGATGCAGAAGGGTAGCCAGGAGCACATCACTACATGTTCATATGTTTTTATTTTAATGCGTGTATCAACTAAACGGCTCGTTCTTTCGTCATTTTTCTGTAAATAGTTGTTTCACTCACCGCAGAAGCTTTTTTCATGTCATCATCTTTCTTTTTCTGTAGTTCTTTGGTCACCTCTCTGATGAGTTCCAACTCTTCTAGATTCTTCTTAGGTAAGGGATCGAACACCCTTACTACTTCTTTTTGAGGATCGGCCATATTTTCCAGGAATTTATCATAGCGAGACGTTATAAGATCGTATCTGCTTTTCTCGATATTGTTAAACATCGTTGTAGTCATTTTCTTTTTCTGTAAACAAAAATTGCTAAAATAAATTAAAGATTATAAAGAGAATCTATTACGATGTTGGCCCTGAAAAGCGATATGGGTAGGGTTGACACTGTATCATATAATATAGTATTATACTGTAGAAGTAAATATTTATGAATGTGAATAGAACAAAATATTTTTACAAACAAAACATATAATCAGTCAACATATTAATATTCCTGCCATTTATGGGCTGTTTGTTGACGTCATTAACTGTTTAAAGGCATTCTCTATTGCTTTTCCGGAAACGCTACGTATATCTATCAAAAGTTTAACTAAATATCTGGTTATTATTGTTATAATAATTAGTATCTGGTTCGCAATTAACAGTTTGACTCAAAGTTCCCTCCTTTCTATGCTGTTCTGCAATATACCTTAGACCTTTCGCTGTGCGTCACTCGTTTTGTAAGTTATAGTACCTATTGATGAAGCATTTTTATTTTACCGATTTGCTGCTAATAATAAACGGTATGTTCCAAAATATAACCCAGTGTACTGTCCAATGCAAATGACGTCATTAATCGAATCCATACTGGTGATTCGTACCAAAACATAGGACAGTATATGACGTCATACATTTGCGCCATATTAGAAAAGTGTTGGCGATTATTTTGTCATTTTGTGTTCCAAAAATCAATATCCTCCTAATGGAGATATTAGATATTCAATAATTTTTTGTATTTGAATAAATAAAAACAAATTCTGGCATGCTTCATTCAGCGTGTACAAATTAAAAATTGTTTTAATATGGCCGGATATCCGGTACAATATGACGGCGGCACGCCAGTACAATATAGCGTCAATTGATAACGTCATTCGTATTCGGCAGTATACTGGAAACGTTTCGGAACATATCCATAATATTGTTTTGACACATGATATCTAAAACCGACGTTACCTCAGCCACAGCTTTAGTCGTATCCATTTCAACTATCGCTTTCAGTTCGTCATTATCAACCTGCATCCCTAGGATGTTAATTTTTGGTAAAAATTTCTCTAACGAAAGTGACGGAATGAATATCGCTTAATGGTACTAGGTTCATATGTTTATACGAGGCATTGATATTGCGTGCTCTTTGAGACGCATCGTTTCCAATTCGGGACTCATATTCAAAAATAATATTAAAAATTAAGAAAATTTAAAAAAAAACACGCATTGATCACGAGCTGTGATGATTGTAGACAGAATTGATACTAGTGTAAAGTTATTAAATTATTCTATTGTCATCGGTCCTTGATACAAAGTATGTCAAAGGCTTTACTCCTACACGCCCTTGCTCTCTCATCACATTTTTCATTCAGGCCCACTTTACGTGTCCTAATTATTTTGTCAATAAATTATATTCATGGCAAATTTAGAAGAACGCAAAAAAAAGTTTAATTTCTCCTGTTCTCATTATTGTGCGGACTGGCCAAAAACATAATAAATGCTATTCAAAAAGGAAGCTATGGAATGTTTTTTTCTCGAATTTCATTCTTACTAAATTAAAAAAATATATATATTGAAAAAAAAATATAGCCAATTTTCGAATTTTAGTTTAAATTTTGATTTTGTTTAAATTTTAACTGACTTTCTTATCATGCCAAGTGGTGAATGTTGCTGCAAAGAAACTGAGAACGTCAGATATAAACGCTACTTGAGTTACTAGGGCTGTTACTTTTTGAAACTGGGAACACCTACAAAACAATATGAGTATCGAAATCTGTGGTACATTGAGTTGCCAAAAGCCATCGATAGACCGGACAGTATACGAGACTCGCAGGACAGGGCGTAAACAGTAAAATGTGGTTGGGGTGCGGTTATAGTATGCACAAAACTTTAAGAAACATAATTAAATCGACTGGAATAAATTCGCACTTGCCCGCCAGTGGCACAATTCTTGCCACATAATATGGAGTAGCTTGAGGTAATTTTGATCGCAATGACGAAAATTGGAAGGACGAAGCTTGGAGTCGAAGTTGTATTCATAGATTAATCCAGATTTTGTCTGAATGATGAAATGATTAGTGTGGAAACGCCTGAGAAAGAGGTGCGCTCTGTGCAACATCATTGGAAAAAGGGCATATGATAGAGTTTGTTATGGTATGGGGAGGTATTTGTATTGGGGCACGTACGGAACTCCGCGTCATTGAGAATGGGTCACTAACACTAACAGTGGCACACTATGTGACTGAGATTTTAAAGAAATTGTATAGTGCCTTTGCCCCTTTTGTAGTTGTTGAATACCATGGAGACGTTTAAATCAATGCTATGAGGGGGCCAGCGAGCTCGCCCGACTTAAGCCTCATGCAGCATGTATGGTATAAGCTAGGAAGACAAATTAAGAAGAGAAATAGTGTCCCCGATAATTTAAGAGATCTTAAAAAATGCATTACAGGGAATATGGAATGTAAGCAATCTCTCAAGATTTTATTGATAACTTGATTAGAAGCATGCTAAGGATGCAGTTCGAAGAGCTACACTAAGCACTTACGTACGTACGTTACGTATTTTAGTAGTAGGTACCTTACGGCCTTCCCTGAGTAATTATGAAAAAAAAAAGAATACAATGTTAAGTACAAAAGTTTCTTTCCTGTAAAATTTTTCTTTTTTCTTTATTTTGATAAGTTTTTGCCTTTTGATCGTTTGTTTTTTCGATGTTTGCAATTTTAAATTAACGCATAAGCAAAATGTAAATTAATAAACTTAATTGTCAAAAATATCCATGATATTTTGTTTTATATATACTTTTTTGCGCTTCTCGAAATTTGACCATGAATGTATTATAAATTATAATATAGTTTATTTTCAAAATAAGTAGATATAATTTATAATAAGATTTGGCCGCCAGAGGGGCGCCGATGAGGGCAAGTCTATGGCGCTGTCGATAATTAACCCGCCTCTGCTAGCGATATTGCAGAAAAATCAAAATCAAAATAAAAATGATTATATAATTAAAAAGGAATAGTTTGCCTTAAATATAATATGTATTTCAATATACAATTCATAGACAAAATTACAGTTCAGGGTGGTCAATTCCGGAAAACCACAATTTCATAGGTTACGACGTAAAATGTTTTCATTAGGTTTGATTTATTTATCACAGCCCTTCACAAGGCCACTGCTGATCGTAGGCATCTCTCAATTCTAATAGTCAGGAGATGAGAAGTAGCATCTGCGTGATACAGCTTAATAATAAAAAAAACTGCGGTTGCCAAACAATTTACGGGAGGCGTACTATAAACTGTTACAAAAATATATTGTAGATACCCAAAAAAAAAAAATATTTTGAGTCTGGCGAAATATTTTTAAAAATATTTATTCTTTTTACATTCAGACTATATAAAAAAAGTCTGAATTTTTATACACAATATTTTAGTAATCTTGAATATTGTTCTTCTTACTTTATCAAACACATAATAAACATATAAATAGGTTAGAACGAGTGCAAAAGAAATTCCTTAAGTACCTTTATTTCAATAATAGCAAAATACACAGGCAATTAACTTACATGGAAAGACTAGATCATTGTAATGTGATATCATTAAATGATCGAAGAGCGCTTATGGACATGTGCTTGTTCCACAAAATCGTTAACAATAAAATTAGCTCGAATAATCTTTTAGGTAAAATATCATATGTTAATATTCCTAGACCTAATTCTAGAATAAGAAATTACAGTTTATTCAAAACTAGGTATTGTAGAACAAATGTCGGACTATCAGCTCCAATTAATAGAATCTTAAAAACTTATAATGTAATTTCTAAATTAGTCGATCTTGACATATTCAACGATTCTTATACCACTTTTAAAAATAAAATTAAAAAACATTTTTATAACAAAATTAAGATAACCTCATGAGTTATTGTAGAAAAGAAAGTTGTTTTTTTTCTTTGTTTGATGCATTACAATAGGTTATTTTGTTATCCTTTCTTCCTTTTTCAATAATAATGTGCGTTACTTATTATTTTACTTTAACATGTTAAGTTAGCCTATAAGTATGATATGTAACTTCAGATTAATCTATAAAATTTGTAAACATTTTTCATTGTCATTTTGGCTTTGTCAGGTCATCATGTTGGCTTCCTAATAAATAAATAAATAAAAATATTTACTTTACTCACCTGCCTTTGATATCTACAGAGTAAAACGTACAAATGAATGAAGTGTCACGTTTACTGTTTACATTTATGGGCATACTTTACATCGTACAGTTATCAGTAACATTTTGCCGATATTTACACAATTTACAGTTTTTTTTTTTGAAAACTAATCGCACAAGTTCATTTACTAATTAGGTATACTTTCAAAAATAAATGTTATATTATTAACGTTTATCCTCTTTTGTAGTTGTTGTCTACTAAATTCCGCATTTAAAAAAAGTTTACCATAATATGTGTTTACATGCGTACTTTGCTAGATGCGGCTGATTTTATACATAAACCTCGCTCCCAGAGGATACCAGATGGTAGTATAGTGAATATTTAGTAAAGAAGATGTTTTGAACCACATTATTACTGAACAAAAGATAGATTTTTGCTACTATATATTTTTTAAATTCTTTATATTAAATTATATAAAAAATTGTAGATATCGTTTCTTAACTGATTTTTGTTCCCTAGGTGAGTTGCTAGCTAGCTTTGTGAACTCATCCAGGGATAATCTGGTTATAATCTGTTATATACCTAATTGAAAAGGTAAATGCGTATATGCATATTATAAAATAGTTACAATGTCGTATTAGGATTGCCTTCAAATATAGTTGTAAGTGGTGAAATAATAAATAAATAATTTTTGTGATACATATTTTTTTGTATCAGGCTGTAATATGTAGAACGTATAAAAACAGTCAATAGTTGATAGGGTTTTGAATATAATGTAAAACCAGTAGCTTATATACTTAAGTAACCTTGGGTTTCAGAAACTCTTGGGACCATAAGAACAGTTTTGATATGTATTTTCACATCATAATTAATTTAAAAAGTAATTTACAGTCTACTTTGTTAAAAAGTACGCCGTCAAAAATGTTTAGCGTTTCTGGAGTCAGTAGGTCAATTTTATTAATAAACATAAACTTATATCGCCTCTGATAACCCTTAATTAACATAAGAACAATGATTTTTTTAATCTTTGAATATTTATTTTCTGTAAAACTAAATGATACGAATACGTATACGAATTTGAACTAAATAGAAGTAATTTCTAATAGTCGCTGTGTAGCGGAGTCGAGGAGAATTCACTATCCTATATTGTGTTGACTAATAGGAAACACAGGGAAACGAAGCAGGAGTTCGGCAGCAGGGACCACAACTCAAAATAATAAAATCTGCAGTGGCTAACTATTGCAATTGTACCTCCAATGAGACAACCTGCGAAGAACATGTTTAATAGCGGACTTTTGATAGGTTGTAAATGAATAAAAACAAATTTTACGGATTTATTGAAATAATACTAGTTTTTACGGAATTTATCGCGTGTATTTAACTTTTTAATTACCCGACGTTTCGAACGCTTTACAGCACTCATGGTCACGGGCAGGACTGAGATGTTCAACGTCCATATGTCATAGTTAACCGCGGTTACCATAGATTAAAATTTAACTTTTGTTCCGATGGGTAATTAAAAAGTTAAATACACGCGATAAATTCCGTAAAAACTAGTATTATTTCAATGTGTAGTGTTCGCGTAAATATAAGAAATCTTTACGGATTTATTCGCTTTATTTTTAATACTAAGGGAACCAAGTTAGGAGATGAGCAGCAGCGTCTTCCTAATATCGACTGAAAATTAAAAAAGACTGCGGTTGCCAACCCGCTTGCCAAGTGTGGCAACTATGGCAAAAGGGGATGCCTATGAGGCAATATATAATATAATCATTATTTTGTTTCTGTTATGCTGAATATGCTGCTTAAAATATTTTTGGTAATAAAAATGGTGGTATTTAATTTTTTTTTTATAGAATAAGGGTGATGAGAACACAGTCCACCTGATGGTAAGTGGGTGCTGTGGCCCATAGATATCTACATTTATCTTCAATTAAGAATCAAAATGCTTATGATAAAATTATTATGCAGACTTGAGATGTAATGCTTCGTTTCCAGTAAAAACAGCCTCCGGTTCTCCACACTCACCATACGAAATAGAAAAAAAGAAGCGTGGTCCTACCCCGGTCGAGCCGACCCATTCCTGTTGCAACTACAATATAGCTGCAGCATGTCTCTACCGCGTGTAAAAACTTGTTATTAGTTCGTTCTTAACTGGTTATTAGTTCGTTATTTAGTACTTATACACACAATATTTATTTTACACATAGGTACGAGGGGCACACTGAAATGATCGGGAATAAGAAAAACCACATGCACAGTATAGCTAAATTGTATTTTATTGTTTTTCGAAGTATTCTCCGTTCAACTTAATGTACTTTTCCATTCGTGCAAACCAATCATTAAAACTGTAATTCCAGTCTGAAGTTGATGTTGACAAAATGTCTGATTTGTACGCTTCTACAGCTGCTTCGGGGTCTTCAAACCGTTGACTGCGTAATAAATCTTTTATTCTAGGGAATGTAAAGAAATCGTTTGGGCTCAGGTCAGGACTGCACGGAGGATGGCTCATCAGCTCAACGTTTTCCTGCTTCCGAGCTGTATGGGAGCTCGCATTATCGTGATGTGAGATGATGCCACTTTTCGGGTTATTTTTTCGGAGTTCGGCTATCATTTCTGGCAAACAAACCGTGATATACCACTCAGCGGTAACCGTTCTGCGTTCTTGTAAAGAAATTGAAGCAACATGCCTCTTTTTCGAGACAAACGTAGCGACCATTTTCTTTGACACGCTGCGGGGCGAACCACTTTCGTTGGTTTGACCTCGTCTTCGAAGACCCAAACTGCTGACTTGTTTTCTTTCAGGTTCGTATGAACAAATCCACGATTCGTCACCTGAGACGATATTATAAACGGCATTTGACTTCCCTTCGTTGAAGCGTTGCAGAGTATTCGACGATTTGGGTCGGTCTGCGCTGGATACGGTCAAGTGGAAGGAGCTGGAGCCCCAGCCCAGAGATGGTAACAGTATCAGAACAGTATTTTAGTAATTCTATCAGCGACAGTTGATTATGTGACCCCGGGTTCGAATCCTGGGTTGAGACGCCATCGGTTCTTAGGTTTTTCTTTCAAGAAATTCTCAGTGACTGATGGTAAATGGTTACTGCAGCCCTCCATGAGCTTATAACGAACTTAGAACAACGAGGGCACGGAAGCTCTGACACCATTATTTTCTCTGAAGTCAGATCTATATGTCCATGGGCTGTATCCACCCCTTTATCAACACGTGGACTGTTAATCAGTTTGTCACTTAATATATTATAAAAGAGCATCTCATAGATTTCTAGGATCAGATCCATAAGTCTTCACTGGCAACACGCACTGGTTGTACAATCTCGTTTTCCAGTTTTGAGGTATATACCTTAGAAATGAGGACATACCGCAGCAGAACTAGAGTGACCGGCATAGTTTTAGAAAGTAAGTAACCTGAAGTGGCCATGGGCTGGCCATATAGCTCTAAAAACCGACAACCGATGGGAAAAAAGGTTCTCGAGTGGCAAACTCGTACCGGTATTCGAAGTGTAGGATGACCTCCCAATAGATGGAGTGACGACCTGGTAAGACCTGCAGGAAGTCGATGGATGTAGGTGGCACGGGACCGTGCTTTGTGGCATTCTTTGGGGGAGGCCTATGTCCAGCAGTGGAGTTGTAAAGGGCTGTAATGATGATGATGATGATAATCCCATAGATTACCTTAAAGCTTTAAGCTTAAATTCGCTTTATGTGAACTCCGTTTTAAGGGTGTACAAAAATACTAGCAAGTGCCCAGTATTAAGGCCTCTTGTACAATTGTTTTTAACCGACTTCAAAAAGGAGGAGATTCTCAATTTGAGTGTATGTTCTTTCTATGTTATAAATATTATACGATATCTTCGCAGATTGTAAACCGATTTTAATATTTTTTTAATTGAATAGGATTTACCTCGAGAGTGATCCCATTAAAATTTTGAAGAAAAACTTTCGCTCTCAAGGATGGAAAATTGGGGGAAAAGTTTCATATTGGACTACTGTTTAAGGAATTTCATACGATATCTTCACAGATAAAGAAACGATTTTAATGATTCGTTTTTTGTTAAATAGGTTATAACTTCAAGGGTCCCGTATAAATTTGGAGAAAAATTCCACCCCTAAGTGTTGCAAATAAATAACTTCTTTTTTAGCAATTTAAAGTCTGTTTTTAATTTTTGTCAAAAGTTATAAATATTTAAACCTAATTTTAACGCTCAAGTATTATATCGATCCAGATACTTCTTTAATTAAGTATACAATATGTAAAAACACCTTGTCCGATACGAAAGGGGCAAAGGTGCAAATACATTACCAACAAAAAAATAAGCATCAACAGTATTTTATGAATGTGCGGTATTGTTAACCGACGCCCGTCTACGTATGTATTGCCATCCCTATTTAATTAAATTTTATTTTATTTTTTGGAGTAGATTTATTTATTTTATGAAAATAATATCACGAACTGATACATTCTAAAACACCCTCATGGATAGAGAGGGTTTTTTTTAAAAATAATATTGTATAGCTCGTTGACATAGAATAACTACGCACAAAACCAAGTAACCCCAAGCGCGGTTACCAATATTAGATTTTTATCGGATTTCCCAAACTGAATATATTTCTGTGTGATTTAATACGCACCTCAACTTCGTAAATATAGATGAACAATAATTTATCAAGAGAACATTCTCTAGAATGATTTATTCATGAGTGAATCGAGTTGTTACAAAATTTGTTTGTATTATTAGAAAACGCTGACGCTTGACGACTGTAATAAATTCATAACAACTGTAATAATAATAATGATTAATAACTAATAACTGTAATAGTAATTTATAATTTTGCCGAAAATAAATAAATAAATTTCATGTAAATAAAAAAAATTGTTTTCTTATTAATATGACTAGGTACTTCAAACCTCTAAATTATTTAGGGATTGTGATGTAAAGCCAATTATCCCAGTAATTATGATCCCAGTTACACTTTCTTAAATAACGATACTGGCTCTGTTTATCGGCAAGCAGACACAAAATAATGATGAGGAA